GAACTTGAGTTCAGATCCTAACGGCCCACATTAAAATAGAAAGCCAAGTGCATTATCATAAACCTATATGTAATTCTACACTGGAGGGGATGAAACAGGAGAGATTCTGGGGCTTGCTGACCAGTCATCTAGCCAATTCAGTAAGTTCCATATTAGGTGAGACCAACAGGAAGGGAGGAACCCAGTCCCCCGAAATAGTGGAAGGTGATAGAGTCCCTTGACCTCTGACCCACACACATGTACATACAGAGACACAAAGTATACAGTTAGAGTATTTTCTTTTATCATTTAGTTATTTGTTATTTATTTTTGAGATAGAGTCTTACTGTGTAGCTCTGGCTGTCATGGAATTTACCATGTAGACTATGCGGCCCCAAATTCTGCTCTGATTAAAGGCAAGTGCCACTATGCTTGGCTGAGTTTTTCTTTCTTAAAAAAATATACAGAGAAGTACCAGGATCTTAGCTATCATTACCAGCTATTACAGGATGATATAGCTATCACTATCACAATCCAGTTTTCAAATATTTAGTGTTCCATCAAAAAAAATATTAAGCACAGACCACCCTCTGTTAATTATTGACCTCTCTCCCTGGTGTTTGGCCTCCATTAATCTTTCTGTGCCTGTAGAGGTGAAGACAGTTTGCCTGTCTTGGATGTTTAACATAATTGGAAACATACAAAATTTGGCTTTTATGTCTGTCTTCTTTTACTTACTATAGTATTTTTAAGGTACCCAAATGTCTTCTATTGCTGTGAAGAGACACCATGGCCACAGGAACTCTTACAGAGAAAATATTTCATTGAGGCTGGCTTACGGTTTCAGAGGTTTAGTCCATTATCATTGCAGGAAATGGTGGCATGCAGGCGGACACGGTGCTGGAGAAGGAGCTGATAGTTCTGCATTTTGATCTGCAGGTAGCAGATGGTGACTGTGTACCACACTGGACACAGTTTGAGCATATAAGACCTCAAAGCCTGCCTCTACAGTGACACACCTACTCCAGCAAAGCCACACTTCCTAATAGTATCACTCCCCACTCCATATGGGTTGAGCATTCAAACTCAATAGTCTGTGTGGGCCGGGTGGTGGTGGCGCACACCTTTAATCCCAGCACTTGGGAGGCAGAGGCAGGCGGATCTCTGTGAGTTCAAGACCAGCCTGGTCTACACGAGCTAGTTCCAGGACAGGCTCCAAAACCACAGAGAAACCCTGTCTCGAAAAAGCAAAAAAAAAAAGTCTGTGTGGGCCATACCTGTTTAAACCACCGTATCACATCATAAAATGTAGTAGTATTATATTTTTTTGTGGATGATTTAGATTTCATTGTCTTAGATACTCTACATTTTATTTATCCTTAATTGATTGGTAAACATTTGAATAATTTTTACCATTTATCTATTATGAATAATGTTGCTGTACATATTCAAGAACAAGGTAGTTTTATAAAAATATTTTTATAAATTTGAGAATTTCATAAATAGAATTTTAATCATATTTTCATCCCTATCTCTTCCCACATTCACCCCTGCCCCTCTATACCCATTTCAACCTCCTCTTTAAAAAAGAAAACATCCTAGAGTCTAGTTTGTGCTGCCCATATATTTCTGGGTCTTATCCATCCACTGAAGCATGGTTGATCTACCAGGAGCCACATCTTTAAAGAAAACTGACTCTTCCTCTCAGAGAGGTCATCAACTGTCCATAGCTCATCAGGGATAGGGGTTCATGAACTATTTTTCCCTCCATGCTAGGCCGTTGACTGGCTTGATCTTATGCAGACACAGCTATTGTGAGTTCATGAGAATAGCAGTTCTGTCATGTTCAGAAGAGTGTTTTGCTTTGGTCCTCTCTTGACCTCTTGCTCTTACAGTCTTTTTCTCCCCTCCTCCTTGATGGTCCCTAAGCCTTGGGGTAGAGTTTTATGTAGTATTGATAAATCCCATTTGGGCTGGAGATCGGGCTCAAGAGTTATGAGCACTTGCTTCTCTTAAAAGAATACCCAGGTTCACTTCCCAGCACCCACCCAATTCCAGGGTTCTGTTGTTCTAGCCTCCTCAGGCACATATATGCAGACAAAACACTCATACCCATAAAATAAAAATGAAAAAATAAGTAGAATAGATGGTGCATTGTGACTGAGCATGCCACCAACACTTCCTGATCAGGTGTGAGCTTCTACATTAACTGCTATCCACTGCACAATTCCTGCTGATTTGATCTGAGATTTGAGAGCTTCACTAATCTGTGAGCAGAGAGATACAAATTAGAGAGCAAGTTGATATTATGTTCATTTAGCAAAATAATAGTAATGGGTTCATCCCTGGGTCATGTGTGCTTCCCAGCCATGAATTATTGGCCAAATTTACAGTACCAGGTAGTATTTCTCCCTGTATAGCAGGCCTTAAATCCAATGAGGAAACTGTTGGCTATTCCTGTAGATCAAAGTTTTTGTCTTGCCTGGCCCTCAGCTGTTCATTTCAAAATAAACACACAGAGGCTTATATTAATTATAAACCGTTTGACCTATAACTCAGGCTTATTACTAACTAGTTCTTACAACTTAAATTCACCTATAATTCTTATCTGTGTTTAGCCACATGGCCTGGTACCTTTTTATTATCATCTTGCTTCCTCTACGTTTGGCTGGTGACTGTGTCTCTACCTTTCCTCTTCCCAGAATTCTCCTACTCTGCTTGCCCCGCCTATACTTCCTGCCTGACTACTGACCAAACAGCATTTTAGTAAAACAATACGAGTGACAAATCTTTTTTTTTTTTTTTTTAATTTTTCGAGACAGGGTTTCTCCGTAGCTTTTGGTTCCTGTCCTGGAACTAGCTCTTGTAGACCAGGCTGGCCTCGAACTCACAGAGATCCGCCTGCCTCTGCCTCCCGAGTGCTGGGATTAAAGGTGTGCGCCACCACCACCTGGCCTCGAGTGACAAATCTTTACAGAAACTTCCATCTACGCAATTGCTTTATCAACTCTAAGCCATATATGTATGTGTGTTATTGTTGTTTTGTTATTGCTCTTTTCTTGTTAATGGAGTCAAATCCAGGGTGTCTCTGCTTGACAAATGATCTACCACTATGCTATATCCTCAGCCCCTGTGTACATTCTCACCTTTTGGATATGCATGTCCTCTTAAAGAATTAGCATATCAATAAAGTAAAGCACTTCCTTTGGAATTTGATTGAGAATAAAAATGTTTCATTAATAACACTTTTAATGAATGGGTGTGTTGGCACGCCTTTTAACCACAACAGAGGTTAGGGAGGCAGAGGCAGGCAGATCTCTGAGTTGAAGGCAAACCTGGCTTTATAAATTCTAGGGCAGCCAGAGCTCTATAGAGAGACATAGTCTCAAAACAAGACATTTAGTGACTATATTTTACATGTTTATATTCTTGTGCCATGTTTTCCTTAACATTTTCTCATTGTTTGCCAAGTGTGTTAATATTTGAGAAACTTCCAGGAGAATCACTTAAGTCTGGAAATAAAGTCTTGCCTGGGCATTAGAAGAACCTGTTCCTAAGAGGAAATAATTTTAGGTGTTTAATGCATTTCTTAGTGTCAGTTTCTGAGCTAAGACAGATACTCTATTGGTAATTGAATTTACATAATCTTGAAAAGATTACATTTTGATCAAATTTAATTTAGTTTATATAGGTGACTAAGATTTGTCTGTCAGTGCTTTAAAATCTGGACTTTGTCAGACTTTAATTTTTAATTTTTTTAGACATGTAGCAGTAGATTAGCAACAATAAAATAATCAGGAGAAACAACTTAATAAATCAGCAGAAGATTTTTATCCTGAAATCAAGTTTATTTGACAAATTTGAACACTAGTTTAATTTACTCTCTAAAGCAGACATATGCAGGGAATGATGGTTGAGTACTGTTGAGAGTGAAGGAACAGGAAATGGGGTGGCTTTTAGTGACTTATACCTGCCAGGAGCTGTAAATCTGAACAATTGGACATCCACCATATTTAACAGCAGACTTTAAAAGTATACGTCTTTTGAATTGGAATAGGTATGCAAATTAAAATATCTTAGTGGGTTTTTCCCCTTAACTACCTGATAGTTATTGAATTTTCTTTCTTAGAATTAACCATAACAACCATGCATCCCACCATTCAGAAGGCAGAGCCAGGAGCATTAGGAGTTCAAAGTCATCATTATTTGCTTTGATTTCAGAGATAATACAGTAATCAAGGACATGAAATGTAGATATCCTTCTTGGTTAAAAGTCTGGTTCTGCTTCTATTGGCTCCAGGGCAGGTGTGATAATTGTTCTGTACCTGTGATCTCATGATGATGACGGTCACCTTTTAGTGTGCTTAGTGAGCATGAGCATGAAGTCTCTTTTCAGTATGACACAGATATTCTAAGACTGGTATATGGTAATAGCTAAATCCTCTGTAAATTTAATTAAAAATAACTAGATTGTACATCTCCTGTGTGGATTCTATTCCAGTAAAACTTTTTTTTCTTCTTTCTTTTTTCCTTGAGACAGGTTGTCAGTATGTAGCTCTGGCTGTTTTGAAACTTGCCATATAGACCAGGCTGGCTTCAAACTCACAAAATGCCTGCCTCTCACTGAGTCCCGGGAATAAAGGTGTGTGCCATCGTGCCTGATGCCCAAGGAGGCCAGAAGGCATCGAGATCCCCTGGAATTGGAGTTACAGGTGGTTGTGAACCACCATATGGGTACTGGGACTTAAACCTGGGTCCTGAAGTCATCAGTCAGTGCTCATAACTGTTGAGCCATCTCTTCAGTCACAATTTATTGTAATCCCTAGCTGTTAAGGCTGTTACAGTCTTCTTGTACACTCCTCTGGGTATCCATACTCATTAGACAAACTTCACATTTGGAAAAGATGCCATGTCCCCACCACTGTAATCCTACATCCTCTAAGTGATTTTCTTTTCTCTGCCCTCTCAACCCAATCAAATGCTGGCCATGTTTGTAACTTTCTAAAAATACCTTTGTTTAGATCCTTGGATGCCTACTGAAAGTTGAAACCTAAGATCATCGTCCTATCGTAGCAGAGCCCCAACCTATCCTTGGCCTGGGGAGGAGCCAGCCCATATGCTGTGGAGATGAACGGGGAGCAGCAGCTGGATGCAGGTATCGGTTCTGCTAAACCCCTCTCCAGAGTGCAGATGCCTGTGTCACTTTGTCTGACTTGTCTTTTCTACCATTAAACTAGCAGTCCTTTGAAGTCATACAGTTTTCATTGCTGTCTCTTGGGCCTGGCACTAGGGACTACAACTACTGTTTGCTGAAAAATAAAAAAAGTTTTTATTAACAGGCTGCATTTTCTACATAATTGTACTTTGCTGATTACTTTATAATTGCTTTTAAATATTTTGAATTCATAGGAAGTTGCAAAGATAGTGTCAATAGGTTCCATGTTACCCTTCATTCAGTTTCTCTCATGTAACTGTTATATAAAATATTTTATGGGCATTGATAAGGTTCCCTGGAACTGGAATTAGAGACAGTTGTGAGCCACCATGTGAGCTTCCTCTGGAAGAACAGTCAGCTCATTTAACCACTGAGCTATCTGTCCAGCCCCCTCACTATACTTTTTAATCTGAGGCAGTTATTAATCTGCTGTCTTTGTAATTTTGCCATTTAAAGATGCCTCATGAATAAAGTTAGTATATGACCATTTGACATTTTTCCCCCAAAATAACTTTTGATGAGTTGACACTCTTGCATGTCAAAGTTTATTAACTTTAAAAAACTAATTAATTACTTAATTTTTATGTGTAATTTGTGTGGTGTGAGCATGACATGGCTTACATGTAAAGATGGGAGGACAGTTTGGGAGAGTAGGTTCTTGTCTTCCACCATGTGAGCCCTAATGATTGAACTCAGGTAGCAAATGTCTTTGCCTGCTGAGCCATCTTGCCAGCTACAATTTGTTACTTTGTATTATGAGTCACATTTCATGAATGTATTGCACTTATATTAACCACTCATGTTTTCATTCATTTTGATTTTTCTAATTTTTAGCTATTGCAAATAAGTTATTGTCAGTAATCATGGATACAGTAATCTATTTTGGGAGAAAAAATGCCAATGAGTGTATTTTTTTGTCTTAACATTTCTTATTGATATTTATTGAGGTCTACATTTTTCTCTGCTCCCCTTCCTGCCTCTCTCCTTCCCCTTCAATCCTCCCCCAAGGTCCCCATGCTCCCAATTTACTCAGGAGATCTTGTCTTTTTATACTTTCTACTTCCCATGTAGATTATGTCTATATAACTCTTAGTGTCTGCATTGTTGTCTAAGGTCTCTGGGATTGTGGTTTGGATGGAATATACTATAGATGTCTGTTAAGTCCATTTGAGTCATAACATCTGTTAGTTCTCTTATTTCTCTGTTCATTTTTTGTCTGATTGATCTCTCCTGTGGTGAGAGGGGAGTGTTGAAGTCTCCCACTACTAGTGTGTGTGGTTTAATATATGATTTAAACTTTAAAAGTGTTTTTTTAATACATTTATTTATTATGTATACAATATTTTGTCTGTGTGCATGCCTGAAGGCCAGAAGAGGGCACCAGACCTCATTACAGATGGTCGTGAGCTACCATGTGGTTGCTGGGAATTGAACTCAGGACCTTTGGAAGTGCAGGCAATGCTCTTAAACGCTGAGCCATCTCTCCAGCCCTAAAAGTGTTTTTTTGATATATGAGGGTGCCCTTGTATTTGGGGCATAGATGTTCAGTATTGAAATTTTCTCTTGATGGATTTTTCCTGTGACTAATATAAAATGTCCTTCTTTGTCTCTTTTGACTGGTTTTAGCTTGAAGTCTATTTTGTTAGATATTAGAATAGCTACACCCGCTTGTTTCTTAGGTCCATTTGATTGGTATATTTTTTTTCCCAACCTTTACTCTGAGACGATGTCTGTCTTCGAGGTTGAGATGCATTTCTTGTATGCAGAAGAGGGATGGATTTTGTTTTCATATCCAATCTGTTAGCCTGTGCCTTTTTATGGGTGAGTTGAGTTCATTTACATTAAGGGATATTAATAACCAGTGGTTGCTATCTCCTGTTAATTTAGTTTTCATCATTGGTGATGTTAATTTTTTTCTGGATTTGCTGTAATGAGATCATCAATTTTCTGTGTTTTTGTTGGTGTAGCCATCTTCCTTGGGTTGGAGTTTTCCTTCTAGTATTTTGTGTAGGGCTGGGTTTGTGGCTAGGTATTGGTGAAATCTAGATTTGTCATGGAATATCTTGTTTTGTCCTTCTATGATGATTGACAGTTTTGCTGGGTGTGGTAGTCTGGGCTGGCATCTGTGGTCTCTTAATGTCTGCATAATGCTTGACCATGACTTTCTGGCTTTCATTGTTTCCACTGAGAAGTCAGGTGTAATTCTTTTTTGTTTGTTTGTTTAACTAAATCATTGCCTGGCCCATTATGTCTAGCCTCTTATTGGTTAACTCTCACATCTTGACTTAACCCATTTCTAATAATCTGCATAACACCATGAGCTCATGGCTTACCAGGAAAGATTTAGCATGTGTGACCTGGCAGTTTCATGGCAGCTCTCTGTCTGCCCTTCTTCCCAGCATTCAGTCTGTCTACTCCGCCTGCCAAAGTGCTGCCCTATCAAAAGGCCACGGCAGTTTCTTTATTCAGCCAGTGAAAGCAACACATAGACACAAGAACCTCCTACATCATTTCCCCTTTTTCTGTTTAAACAAAAAGGAAGATTTTAACTTTAACATAGTGAAATTACATATAACAAAACAGTATCAAGCAAGAACTACAGTTACCATATTTATATCTACTTTATCTTGTATTATCATAACTAAGGAAAACTATAATAATAACTATTCGTTCTTCAACTCCATCAAAGACTCCAGAAGGATATAATATTACTTAATTAAACAGGAAGTACATTGTAAGCAACTTCCAAAACTCTAGAAATGACAGAGACATCTTGCTGCCTGTACAGTCATCCAAAGTTCTTCTGTACCATCGGGGCATCCATCTTTAGCCTACAGGCCCATAGTATCCAGCAGACATTTTCATGAAGCAGGAAATTTTAAAGACAGTTCAGTCATTTTTTTCTGTGTCCTGCAAAATGTCTCCCAGACTCTTTTATGAATTAGGAACTCTGAAGGATCTTCTCACCTTTAGGCAAGTTCAGCAGTCATCTCTCCATGGGTTCTTCATGTCCAGTTCATGCATCAGTCCAGGCAAGAGCAGTTTCTTGCCCAGATGGCCAACCAACTCCATAAGGAGCCTCTTTGGTGCCCATCTTCCTCTTGAAGTAGATTAGTGCTTCCAGGTGCAGATGTGTCTCATGGTCATGAAAAGTCCTAAGTTATTAAATCATTTTAAATGCCATATTCTGTAGTCTTTGAAAGATATGAAGTATGCCTGTCTAACTGAAATATATCTCTATATATCTAGAAATTCTAACTAACATGACTACAAGCTTGACTATTATTGATGATTATCCATTAACAATCTATATTTCCTAATTATGCATTACATTTTTATATGAACTACACAATCACAATACCTCAATCAAGAGCAGAAATATACATATAACAAGATTGACCTTAAATTTATATCAATAAAGCCAAATCCATACCAATGTAGATTATTTATATCTATATTATATCTAAATGAAATGTAAAAAAAATTTATAAACAGTATTTGGGAATATGGGTGCAGTTTTTTCTCTCCAAACTGCTACGTGCTGTATGGGGGCGCTGTTAATTAGGTCTTTCATAGTGTATCCTATGTGCTAGGTTAATCTCTGTCAACAGTTAAGTAAAGTAAGTTTTTGAGGGTGTTTAAAGAAACCTTTCAGGAGGGCATGGTCTGTCATATCATATTGGTCCAGAAGCAGTCCACAGGGTCTCATCCTCTATGAAAACAAAAGAAGAACCACTTTTTCAAAACACCATATTCTTATACCCTAATTCTGAAGTCATAATACCTTTATAATATCCATGCTGGTTTAGCTTAGCATCCCACACAATGAAACGTGTCTCTGCGATGTGACTGATCTAATGGGAGCTCACCAAGGCCAGCTGGACTGGGACTGAACGAGCATGTGATCAAACTAGACTCTCTGAATGTGGCTGACAAACTGAGAAGGCAACGACTGAGTTTTGATTCTACTGCATGTACTGGCTTTTTGGGAGACTAGTCTGTTTGGATGCTCACCTTCCTAGACCTGGATGGAGAGGGGAGGACCTTGGAGTCCTCACAGGGCAGGGTATTCTCTTAGGTCTGGAGAGGGAGGGGGAAAGGAGTAAGAGGGAAATAGGAAGAGGGGAGGAGCTGGAAATTTTTAATAAATAAAAAAACAAATGAAACATCTCTCTGTACTTAGCTCCTTCACAGTCAAAAAATTTAAAGAAAACACAATAATACACATAATCCAGACTCTGTGAATTTTCCATTTTTAAGTAGCTTATTTTTTTAATCTCTGATTATCTGTACTCTGTTTCTTTAAAGACTTTATCCTTTTTTTAAAGCACTAACTTTATTTTATGACTCTCTATACTCTTTTTCTTCTCTCTCCCAAGCCTCCGTACATTTATTCAACATTGTGACCTATTTAGAGGTCACTTATGTCTGAATCTGTCCTATTCTGAATCTTAATCCTTTACTGTCCAGGAACACTTTTGCTTTGCACTTTTAGAATGCTAAGCTCTAAGAATCTAAGCTGCGACAATCCCAGGTCAAATACAGGTACTGCCTGCTTGCCCCACCTAGTTCAACATGGCGGAACCGCTTGTGCCTCTGAGCTGTGTGCACTGCACTGCTGGTGTAGCAAAGCTGTTTGTGCCTGTGAGTCAGTTGTGCCTCTGAGCCACGAGCAGTGCCTCCCTTTCGGGCATATACAGCAAGTCAATGCTCTGTCTCCTGCAAGAGACAGTAGCTGCGCTAGCAGCATACCCCAGAAAGCCAGCATTTTAAAACTGTGCCGCTACAGCTGAATCAGGAAGATCTCTCTTAAAGCAACTGAGGCAAGCCGCCAGCAAACAGCAAGAAGCTGTGGTAAACTCTGTATTCTTTTTGAAGATCTCTCAGATTTTATGTGGAGTCAGTTTACCATGTTGGAGCACCAATCTGTTGTGTGAGAG